TTCTTTGGACTCATCAGCTGCTAGGGCCAAATTTCTTCTTGTTGCAGCTGGCTTTTCGGTCTTTTATGACGCCTTATTGTTCTTGGGTCGTAATCCAAGGCGTCTTTAATCAGCACATTTCGATGACTTTTGTTCTTTTCAAAGAACTTTTGGGCCCTCTCTCTCATCTGGATTACGACCGGTACCTGTCATAGTTCGTCATATAGCACTCTGTTAGGTACATACCACGGTGCGTCCACCGCTTCACGGAGTGCTATGTTTTGTTAAGCTTGGAGCCTCTTCTTCGTCGTTTTGGAAACGTATCCCCAAGCTACTGCTGCGTAAGTCATGATTTGTAGCAGCACCATCTGAATCATAATGGTCTTATTCTTTAGTGACACTTTGCTTCTTCTACCCGTTAAGGGTCTTAGTCTGGAGAGTGCCATCTTCACTTTCTGCACCTGGCCCTCGGCATGGTTCTTCCAAGTGAGTTTTTGGTCCATCTTGACTCCAAGGTATGTGCTGGAGTCCTTCCAGTCGACCTCAACTTCTTCGTCTCTTCTCCAGCCTATCTCCATTCTGGTGGTCGTCATCTTTATTTTGGTTTGAGGTAATCTTCGATTTCTTCGAAACAGTACCGCTTCGGTCTTCTCAGGGTTGAGACGGATCTTCCATTAGATGCACCATTCCTCTAGGTTGGTAGTCGCTCGTTGCAGATATTCCGTAACCATGCGGGGTCTCGTACTTTCTGCCGCATATGCTGTATCGTCCGCAAACACACAGTTGCATTTGTGGAGTCTTCGGGATGTCTGAACTGTAAATTGCATACAGCAGGGGTGATAGAACCGCTCCCTGCGGTACTCCTGCCTCCACAGTCCTCGTCGTCGAAGTTGCTTTACCAATCCTAATTCGGAATTTACGGTGCTTCAAATAGGACTTCACCAGTTGGATCATCCCCGTTGAGTATCCGAGGTCTACCATCTTGCAGATCAGTCCGTCATGCCAAACAGTGTCGAACGCTTTAGCAGCATCCATGAACACAGCTCCCACGGCTTGTCGAGTCTGGAACGATTTCGTTGCCATCTCGACCAGCCTTAGGACCTGGTGCTCTGCTGAATGTTTGCTTCGGAATCCGAACTGTTCGTCTGGAACTACTCGGAGTTCTTCAGTTTCGTTCCTCAGTCTTCGTTCGATTACCCTTTCCGGAATCTTGCTCAGTGCCGTCAACAGGCTTATGGGTCTGTATTTTTGGGGGAACCTTGAGTCTTTCCCAGGTTTTGGTATGTTGATCACTTCGGCTACTTTCCAGTGGTCTGGAAAGTATCGGTGTCTCAGTATGGCGTTGACAATGTTGGTAATTGCCATTATCCTCGGGAGTCTCTTTAAGACCCTGTTCCCAATTTCGTCTACACCTTGAGTCCTCCGATGATTTCCCTTACCTCGCCTGGAAAGGTCATGTCCTCAATGGCTCTTCCTCCTCTTACAGCTCTCCTCGATCTTCTTATCACCTCGTCGATGAAGTCTTCATCTTCATCGGGGTGAGTATTGAGAGTACACTGTCTCTGAAGGTTGTCAGCAAAAGCTTCTGCCTTCTCTTCGGTTGTGTACACCATCCCCTGTCAGCTGTGTATTGGGGGGATGGGCTGTCTTCTGTTTCTGAGGATTTTAGCCAAATTCCACATTCCTGGATCAGCTGGAGATAATTCTTCGAGTTTCTTATCCCAGGTGCTCTGATGATGCTGCTTCAAGGCGTCTCTTGCCTTTCTTGTTAGTCTGTTTGCCACCATGATGTCCGTGGGACTTCTGGTCTCCTGGGCTACTCTTGGGGCTCTATTTCTTTCAGTGATCTTGCAATTTACCTCGTCAGGTAGGTCCCTGAACCTGTTTGGTTGCGTTATGTCTTCCACGGTGGTTGCGGCTTCTAACCCAGCCTTAATCTTCCTTTCTAGGTCCGTGACCGCTTCCTCTATGTCTTCAGGGCTTTCAATCTGAAGTAGTGGTCCTAGTGAATAGTGCAGTCTGATTCTAAATCGCTGCCAATCCACTCTCTTCACTGTTCTTTGCTCCACAGGTGAAGAAAGATGGGGTTGTGGTCTGAGTTTCCCTCTTGCAAGGCGCCGATGGTCGTGCGCAGGTCAATTTCTTTCAGAATCGCCATATCTATGACGTCTGGTCTACCTCCATTGCTGGGGTATATTGCGGGTTCATCCGGACCTATCATGGTGTATCCAGGTTCATCCATTAGTCTTTCAAGAACAGTGCCATGTCTGTTTCTATTTCTTGAGCCCCAAATGGTGGACTTCGCATTTAGATCACCTACGATCACGGTACTATTTCCCAGTGCAGTGATACAGGTTACATCTTCCAGATGAATGGTCGATGTAGGTGGTACGTATATCGATACGATGTTCCGAGGGCCATGGTCTGTTGGGCGTACCGTCACTCCTACGGCCTCCGCAGATCTCATTTCTGGCAGTCCCAGTTCCCAGTGGGTAATGCTGGTCTTGACAGCAAGCAGCAACCCACTTCCGGTTCTGTTGCGGTCCTTTCTATATGTCGTGTATCGCTGTATCGTCCAGTCTCCAGAGAGCTACGTTTCTTGTAGTGCCATTACATCATAGTTCCCTCTTGTTAGGACTTCGCCTATCTCATATCTCTTGTTGGAAACGCTGTGAACGTTCCAATTCAATATCTTCAGACCCCTATTTGCAATGGTTATTGTAGTGCCCATTTGGAGTTTCGGTCAGTGCTATCCTTTCTAGGCGTATTTTTGCTCCAGATGAGCAAAATACGCTTTCTTGGCAGCCGGATTTCTCATCACCAGCGACATCATTTGAGATGTGTACTTGGTGGCAAAGTCTGTCAGCTCTTGACGTCGCTGTTCTTGGCACTGCTACATATACACTTATATACAACCCTGTAGAGTTACAATAAATATTCATCCCAATCATTATATTTTAACTACGTTACATTCTCATGTATAATTTTCAGTGAGTTTGCCCGCAAGAGCACCTTCAGTGCTTTGTTTAGCACTACAAATTTAATTTTCTTGACACTCATTCCCGATACTCGGTATATAAGCTGTTCCTTTATACTTCGTCTCATAATCCTTTGAATATTTTCTTTCACGGCATCTGGCGAACGGACACCGGTCAAATTTTCGAAATACTATATTGCCGAGTTCTTCTACTATAGCCCGTCCGATAATCCTGGCCGCTACTGCGTTCACTTTCGTATAAGTATCCGCTAACTCCTTCCAACAAAACTCCATGTACTTAATGTATCCAGGAACAAGGATGATTTGACTTGGTTCTTGGTAACTTGCAGTTTATCTAGGACGATTTTGCGAGTGCTACACATCTTGAGTTCGGCTGTGGCTCTTTCAATGAGTGAGGGATGAAACTGTACCCATATTTATATCAAATCTGTCGCTTAGGGACATGCTGTGATTGGACCACGTAAGAGGTATTTCTGACCTATAGGGTTATCCCTTTCTGTTTACCATACTAGGTACATAACCCATATGGACAAATATCGCTATTTTGGGCGTTTAGGTTAGAATTAGATTATATATGTCGGGAACAGTTAAATATCTCTGAACCGCAAGCGACTTGCTGCTCTAGAGATGAAGCTACTCCGGATCGCCACCAGTGCACCATCCTACGTAAGAAACTCAACCTTGCGTAGGGACCTGCACTGGGACACCATTCACGAGTACATGAGGAAAAAAGCGGAGAAGACCTTCCAGAAATCTCAGGACCACCCGAACGAGCAGCTAAGATTCCTCATGGACTACGATCCGGACGAGAGGCCTCGCAACCGCAGAACCAGGTACCCTAGACCAAGGTCTCAGTTGGCACCCGCTAACTGGAACCTTGACTAGGAGACTAGGAGAACCCGCGGTTGCTCCCCCCCCCACGGCGTGGATGCAGAGGACCAGGAACCACCGGGACCAGGACCCACCGGGACCAGGACCCACCGGGACCAGGACCCACCAGGACCAGGACCCGCCACGACCAGGACCCACCAGGACCAGGACCCTTCAGGACCAGGACCAGGAACAACATATTGGTAAGAGGACTTGAAACTCTTGATTTTTCGAAAACAAGAGTTTCAAGAGAACCTCTATCGATGATCGCTTAACGACATCGATAGAATGTGCGAGGTAAAGGGAACCAACCCAGCGTTCCCAGAGACTGAAACACATGAGGAGACGTTGTAGCAGACCGCAGGTCACGCACAACACATGGCCTACCGAGACGCTAATGAGTCGGGCCACGCGGAGGTTAGGGTTTAGTGGGTATTAGGTTATTAAAAAAAATATATCTCTGGAATTTTAGCCAATTGATAGATTGGAACCAGGGATTCGGATTCAGCACATCAAAGATCTTGTCGGTCTTCAAAATTTCATAAGCTCAGATTTTTGTTTTCCCATGAGCCCATATCATTTTTTTTTTGACAAGACAAGACTTATTTTGAGGGTCATTTGGTCCTCAAATCCGGACATAGCTACCTACTACAGGATACGTGTGTTTTTAAGTTAAAACATTGCCAAGTGAACAAAATCTACAAATCGAATTATGCAAAAACGCTTACAAAAAAAAAATCCTTCCCTATTTCATGTTTTTCTACTTTCCGATGAATTTTGGACGAGAACAAAACCTTTTTCTGAATGAGCCAACATTTTGGAAAATCTTCAAGTCTTGATTTTCATCGCTATGTGAGTATTAAAATGTTCTAGGGATGGGGCGGTGCGGCACATAAAAGTTGAATTTCGGCAGGCTTTTTTTGGACTACATAATATAATCATTTCAATAACGATGCTGAGTGTACAAATATTTATCATTTTAATCCCTCTCAATAACTTTTATTGTGGCGCCGCCCCAGAAGCTTTCAAGAAATTCAAAGTGGATTTAGGGAATATAAAAAAATGCATATGAATGAGCGAAAAGTATTGAATCAATTTGATCAACGATCAATTTTTCAGGTAATGAAGTAATACATGTTACTTTTTCTTGTAGGTAGATCCAAAATTGTCCTACCTATCGGAGAAACTGCAAATTACCAAGACCAAAGTCAAATCATATTTGTTCCTAGATACATTAAGTACATGGAGTTTTGTTGGAGGGAGCTAGCAGAAACTAATACGAAAGTAAACGTAGTAGCGGCCAGGATTATCACCGGGCAATAGCATAACAACTCGGCAATATAGATTTTGAAAATCTGACGGGATTTCGTCCGCCGGATGCACTGAAAGGAAATATTCAAAGGATTATGCGACGAAGTACAAAGGAACTGCTTATATACCGAACAACGGGAATGAGTGCCAAGAAAATTAAATTTGTAGCGCTAAACAAAGCACTGAAAGTGCTCTTGCGAGCAAACTCGATGAAAATTATACAACAAAATATAACGTAGTTAAATGTAATCATATTATATTTATTGTAACTGTATAAAAACTGTTTGTACAGGGTTGTAGTATAAGTGTATATATATAGGTATTTTTTTTCGATTTTCGTCTGCCGGTGCGCATGACGTCCCGCAGAGAGTGACTCTCATTTAGATTGGTATGGATAACGTGCATATTTTCACCTACAGGCTAAACGGCTGGACGGATTTTCACATATGAGGTGCCGTTAGATTCGTCTTAGCGGTGCGAGTGACTCTAGCTACATTGAAATTTTATAAAAAACAAAATGGTGGATTCTAATAAAAGATTTCAACGTTGTAATTCCTACTTCATAGGCTACAGATAGGCTTGAGACATACGACTCTTTTCTCTGAGTTCGCTCATTTCGTTCATCTCTCTTTAGTGAGTTGTTCGTTCAGAGTCGTTCACTTGAACGATACGATTACCGACCGGCATCGAAGCTGACGAGAGTATTGTGTTGCCTATAGAAACGACTCGCTGAGTCAGAGGATAAACATCATACTATGAAAATTAGATGAAGGGTTGGGGTTGCCGATGTTATTATATTTATTTAAATAATTAGTATTTTTTGTTGAAATTGAATATAACGATTGTATACTGCCTTCCGAAAAAAGAAGGGATATGTGGTCCGGTTTTGAGGAATTACCGAATTCTGAATCAAAATGCAATTTTTGCTCTCAAATCCCATCATTTCAACTTATAATTTAATGAGAGATCTCAAAACAAAACAATTGGGTTCCCTAGATAGTGTCTGTACTGTTACCACGGTGTCAGTTCGCAGATCAGTTGCTGCATACTGCAGACACGCTTTGCACAATTGAACGAACCATATTTAACAAAAGAGTCGTTCAATCATCGCTTACTTAGATGAGTCGTTCATTTTGAACGACTCGTTCGCGAACGACACATGACTAGCTACAGATCAAACTCCTTGATAGATTTTCACATATGAGGTGTCGTTGAAATGGCCTTAGCGGTGCAAGTGACATTAAAATTTGTTACAAAACAAAATGGTGGATTTTAGTAAAAGATTTAAGCCTTGTAATTCCTACTTCATAGGCTACATTTAATACTGCACTACATTTATTCATCCTTATTTCACAGAACATCCTAAGTACTAATTAATACATGCAAGTGTGAAAATGTACGCAGCTCGAAAAGAAGAAAAATGGAATAATCATCCTTTGTCAGTAAGCTGGTGATATAACAATAAATGGAAATGACTTAGTCTAAGCCCTAATGTTTCTCCATTTCCTTTTACGATTTTTCTGGTCTTTCAAGCTTTTATGCAGTTCTTTGATCCACAAGAACATCCTTGACCTGAAAAATAGTTTCTTAGCTTTTTCAGGACAGTCAATGTTGCTGCTCTTCATCAGAAGTTCGCCTATAAAATTTTGCTTTTCTGTCACTATTCCGTCCCCATTGAATGTAATAAACACCTTATTAAGCTTCTCAATGTGATTCATGAAATCTGTGGAAGGTTTTGATAATCCACTCTCACTGAGATGGTCTATTCAGGAGTAAGTTTCATTTGATTAACTTTTCAACCTCTCATCCTGCAATTTATGGCAAACAAAACCAGCCAAAATTTTCGGCCCATCATACTCGAGATCATCTTTTTCTTCCACTAAAACTTCCTCGTTATAGTCAGCTGATACTTCAGGTGCATTCAGTTAGTGGAATGTCCGGAGTATCCTCTTCCTCTACGCTGCAATACTCTGAGCATGCGCCTTCGTTTCGCCCCAAAATATATGATCTTCTTCTATACTTAACCTCTACGAGATAAGTTGAGTCCTTTGCCTTTTTTCGCAAGCACTTTTCCACGTTTCCCCATCAACAGATGTAGATGGTCCAGGTGATTATACAGACTTGGGTAAATTTTCCATAGAAATGGTATCATCTTTTAGAGCACGATATCTTTTAGGGGTGTAACCCAAGAGGGTATGTTTCAAATTGACCTTATAGCACTTTCACAAAAGTACTTCGAGCAAACCCTAGCGCTTTTTACCTTGACTTTGATTTTTCTGTTTGTACGATGTAAACATTTATTGCTAAGGTTTGGGTCTTGAGGAAAACTGTGGAACTTCATGTCTTTGCAAGGATTCCTTTTCGATTGATTGTCGGAATTACATTCCACAACAGCACACCACATTTTTATCAATTTACTAACATCACAGGGTATATAAAGTATGTATAACTATTACATCAAGTCACAAACCCACCAAAAATCACCAACAAATCCCACTATACAGTATTAACCATGATACACGTGCACTGCAGTAACGTTACGACAATCCTGCCGCTGGGAACCACGAGCCAACAACTCTCTGGGTGACGTCAGGAAGCTCCGCCCACATGCGACGTTACCGGGTACTCCGTCAGTCAGATATGTGCGTATCCCCGCACGCGTCACATTGCGCTAACAGATACCGTTAATTCAATTAGTATTTATTTAATGTGTTGAATATATTCGTTGTTACTGCACCGTCTACCTTCTTCCGCAATCACAACCAAAGCGATATACTAAACGTTGTATATGAAATTTTCCAAAATATAAGAAAAAAACTTTGACTCATCCACAAAGCGCCACCTAGCGACTGAGCTAACCTGACAAGATTAACCGTTCATTTCGAGTACCTACCGCATAGGTGAATACTTTTTCAAGCGAAACCAAGATCATCAAAAACGATGTAACCAAACAGAAGTTGTGACATTCAACCCTTCTCCCACCCTAAACTAACCAAAATATCAGAAAATGATATTAAGAAAAAACTTACTTTGGTCGATCAACATGACAAGTCTATAATCAAATCCAAGCGAATAACCAAAATTTCTGTGTTATGTGCCGCGGTTATAATATGGTTCCAGGGTCGCGGTCCGTAAGTCACTATATCCGCTCAAGGACATGAATACGTTGGCGGCTTGGTCCGATTGGTTTGCGGTGTGTTTGCCCGTGTGGACGCTACGACTTTCGGACCGCTAGATTTGCAAGTGCTTGTTTACAAACAAAAAAGTTTTAACCGCAATTGAAAAAATTTGGTACTTTTGTTTATTGTATTTAGTGAAAATGAACGAAAATCGTGCTTTTGCCATTGTTAGTGCACTCCAGGAAACACTAGATTCATCGTCAGATGATGAGGAACTCATCAGTTTAATTTTCTCGTCATCCTCTAGTGAAGAAACCGATGGAGTTGAAGTATATGCGGTACAGAGAAGAGGGCCGATGCAAAAGAGGCCTCGCATTGAAGAGTTTGTAGAACGCACAGTGCCGGGTTTCTCCTCAGAAGAATTTAAATCGCATTTTAGAATGCTGCCAGAAACTTTCGAATTTGTTTTGGGACATGTTGGACCATTGTTAAGCACAGCTGGGCCTAGTTCTCGACCACAAACTCCTGCAAAGACTCAACTGCTACTGGTGTTATGGTTAATGACAACTCCCGATTCATATAGGTCTGCTTGCACAAAGTTTAATGTAGGGAAAGCAACCTGTGTACGTTCAATGCGAAGAGTTTGTCGAGCTCTACATACCTTAGCTCCTAGATTCATAAGGTGGCCTGAGGGACAACGAGCTCAAGAAGTGATAGGAGAATTTGTACGTGCTAGTGCTTTCCCTGGAGTTATTGGTGCAATAGATGGGACTCACATTGAAATTAATAAACCCAAAGATGATGAACATAATGCATATTGCAATAGAAAGGGATATCCATCATGCATATTGCAATAGAAAGGGATATCCATCAGTCCAAGTGCAAAGCATTTGTACTTACAAGCTAGTATTCACTAGTGTATATGCTGGACATGCTGGGTCAGTTCATGATGCCCGTGTATTTAGCTTATCAAGAATACCTGATTATATGGCAGACCCAGCACGATACTTTCCAAATGATAGCCACCTTGTTGGTGACTCGGCTTATCCAATCCATCCCTGTATAATGGTGCCTTATAAGGACAATGGTCACTTGACATCACTACAGAAAAACTATAATTTTTGTCTATCATGTGCCAGAACATCGATTGAGAGAGCATTTGGTGTGTGGAAAAATCGCTGGAGGAGAATTCTTGACAGACTTCCCATGGTCACGATGGAACAAATACCTGAATACCTATTAGCAGTTGCAGTATTGCATAATATTTGCATTCAAAGAGATGACTTGTTTGTTCTTAGTGAACCACAAATTATAAATGATACCCCTCTTGTCCAGCAAAGAGACATGCTAATAGATGATGCCACAAGGAGAGCTGCAGGTAGTGCAAAGAGAGACCGCATCATGAATGAACTGTCTGTTAGAAACATTTAGTAAATGTGTTACTATTTTGGAAAATATTTCAGTGTATTTGTTTTAAAAATGACATTGGTTTAAATAATTTTTTTTAGGAAATGACACATCAAAACTTTTAAAATTATATTCATAATTCAACAGAACAGAATTCAACGAATATTATCAAAACAAACAAAAAAAATAAAAATATGCAAAAATTGACCAAACCCGAATACACGAAGCCTAGTTTTCATCTTCAAATAATTTACGCCCTGCCAAAGCTTCGCCTATCTTCTTTAGAGCATCCATTTTTTCTTTATGGTGCCTTTCCTTTCCTGCAGTGCCTGCATACGTTTTTCTTCTCTGGCTCTACTTCGATCCTCTTTCTCTTTCCGTAATTTTAATTTTTCTAGGGCAGTGACATCTGTTTTCTTCATTTTTTTGGCAATGGGTTCTGGCTGAATGGGGCCCCTTTCGTCAGCAGTGGCCTTGGGATTGGCCCATGCGCAGCGACCAAATAATTCTTCCATCCGCTCTAGGTACGGCCATCTAATAGTGCCACTACCAGATCTACCCTTCCTCGCCAATATTATTTTGTATCGGTTTTTGAGGCCATTTAGCTTTGACTGAAGTTGACTATGGGAAAGGGTAGATCCAGTTAGCTTTTTAATATCTTCTGCAATTTGTAACCACAATGACTTATGGGTTTTCTCCCCCGCATCAAATTGTGGCCTATACTCTTCGAATTTAGACAATAGCAGAAAAACCATTTGTGTAGGCCACAAAAACTTATCTTCCTCATCTGCCTTTTCTACTCCAGGTGGAGCAGGACCACTGATAGCTTCATCTTCTTCTTCAAGTGGATGAGGAAATGCAGGGGGAAGAGTAGAACAAGGAATAGGTGCAGCGGTCGGCGTACAAGCTGATGCGCTCTGGTCTGGATGGCTTTTGTTTTTTTCCTCTATAACATCGTATAGACGATTTAATAGAGCCTCATCTAATATAAAGACAAAGAATAACTATTATTAATTGGCCAAGACTTGAAAATATAAATGAACGCAATTGAGTCTTTGCAAGTCTCTATATTTCATCAGCAAGCTGATTCTATTTACCTCCGGAATAGATTTTCGCGGCATCAGATGCACTCACTATCAATGATAGCAACTCTTGTCCTTCAGCCTGCACCGGAATTTCAACGTCAGCCATAATATACACAAAAGGTATAAATAATAATTTTTCCAAAATTTGTTCCCGCCTAATTGCTCGGTCGTGGTAATAAACGCGCATTGCGCGGTCCGATAGCCGCGAACAGCGCAAGCGCCTAACCCGCTCATGCCTTGCAGCCTGTACGCCGTGAACGTCTCGTAAACGCTATCCGTGACGCAATAGGTGACGTCACGCGCTCATACCAATGTGCTCACGGAGGCTTTCGGACCGGCCTTGAGTGCGCTGTCAACGGTGTGAACGACTATCGGACCGCGGACCAGATGACACACGGGTTGATGACGTCAGTTACACGAATCGCTTGAACGCGTTGGTTTTAACCGCGGTTTTGTTGCAAGTTGTTTATTTTAAAAAAGCGCGTATATAATCTCTGATTATTTTTATTATCACGTAATAATCGGTGCTTTTTCGTCTACAACTGTATATGGAAAGTTTAAATAAGAAACCTTTCATAATATTCATGGGAGAATTGTTCTTTTCAGATTATTTTTTAATGATGGAACCATGGCTTTGTAGCTATGATAACTTTCAATTCTCTAAATTTTTCCGCATGTCAAAGAAAACATTTATTGATTCAGCAGAAATGATGAAAAAAGAAATTAGCAAAACCGTATACAGGTGGATATCATCTAGTGAGTTTATATGGCCATATTTTAATATTCTTGTGGTATATGGCTACACAGGATACTTTGTTAAGCATGGGAACTACATTTAAAGTGTCCCCAACAACCGTAATGAGTATAACTAATAAGGTGCTCCACTTTATGGTAAAACTGAAGTCAGCCTGTATCAATTTTCTCAAAAATGAAGCTGAAGTACTATCCAATACCCGGCAAAATTCTAACTTGTCACATTTCAAAATAATAATCAGAAATATAAAACTATTCCTCAGTTGGGTAAATACCACAATTTTGCGGTGATAACTATGACATATAACATCTGATTCGTGACGTCACGGATCTTATAACCAAACTGATAACTACACTCGCTTGAACGGATTGGTAAATACCAAGCCAAAATGGTAAATACCATTTCGATTTGGTTATCCGCTTGAATTTGATTTATATAATGAGTACCTATGTTCACTAAGAATTTTTGCACGACAATGGCGTTTGAATATTTGAAATCCGAATGGCATCAATTAGCGTATACTTTACGAAGCTAAATTTGTACCATGCATTTTTTTAACCGCTAACTCTAAGTTTAGCGGCTGTAGAGACACAGCTGGCGTCCTTTATTATTGGCCCACCTAGTTAGTAGATCATTCTACAAATGCAGCCAATTCCACTGAACGACTTTCTGCGATAGATTTTGTGCCATCTCTTTTGCGGTGGTGCCATTTTTAAATACTTTTAACTTTTGCTACTTAATTATACGCTCAATAACTTCTCACAGTTTTTTCACCTTTTCTTTCACAAACAATTACAAAAAGCCCTTTTTTAGACCGTTACAGTGACCCATGTCCCTTTAAAATATCATTTAAATCAAAGTAAACCCAGCACGCACATGACAAGGAGACGTCTGGCAAGAAAGCTGACACTATTGACAGTAGCCAGCTGAGATCTGTCATCTGTCAGCGCGTCGCGAGGTTGGTAGTCTTGACGCAGGCTTTTCGTTTTTAGTGACGAGTGTGGTGTTGTGGTTGTGTTTGCGGACTGAAAAAAAAAACGTATTCCGGGGACTTTTTACATATCTTTTTGACATTTTTCTTAAATTAAGGGGTAGATGAAGGTAAGTACTTGTGCAAACTTAGCTTATTGATTGGCAGACTGCAAAATTCTCAATTTACCGCCATTACCGAGGAAGGCTACTATGTTGATTACTTTTTAGTTATTACCAAATTCATACGTCACGATGTTGGTAAACATTTATTTTAGAAACGATGTATGTTTTAACCCTCAGTACTCTATGTACGGAAATAGATGAATATCGTATATCTAGCCTAATACCTATAGGCATTCATTTGTTTACAGGGTCACCTAGAGTTCTTTGAACTTTTCACAAACTATCATTGCAATTGTTGCAAAATTTACTGGTCCTATATTGAGTTTATTAGTACAATTACAGAAAGCAACACCAATTAGGAGACGCCGACATTTCAAACCACCTAGCTACACTGTTTATGCCTCCAGTCAAAAGGACTGAACAATTTTTATGTATAGGAAGACTTGATTGGTATTAGTTCCTTACCCATACTTGTCAAAGAATTACATTAATTTCACTAGCAATGGTACTTTTCAGTTGGACATTGGATTCTTCCTTTTTGACTTGACTTCCTTTGTGGTTGGTTACTGAAGCACCACACAAAAGCTCTCTAGTTACTGATATAAAGATTATTTTCGAAAATCTATTGATTGAAAAGCTATATTTTTAAAAGTTTGACCAGCATCGATAAGGCTTACTGTGCTTAGCACTCAGTGTAATCAAATCATCAACTCATGTATGGCGAGACACTAGTTAAAAGGTTCTTTACTTGGATTTATATCGATTTTCAAAAGTCTTAATCTAATCTAATGCATACAACTGCAACACATTTTTCTATACAATAGTAAACTTTCTCTTCTTTACTATACTAACAAACATGAATCTGCTAAGATTCCTTCAATGCATACCTGGCTGAAATACAGTAGTGAGCATTAAAAGAGAAACTGCTTGCGCCATTCAAGTTGTGCACTTAAACTGTCACATTTTCTTCATTCACAGTAAGTAACAGAAAAGCATCACTAGAAATTACAAAGCAGTACCAATTATAAATCTGTTACCCCCAATTCTATAGGATATTTTGTGTGTCTCTTGTTAAATTTTGAAATGTTGAATCAATCATGCAATAGTTTATATTGAGATTGACAGTATCATTGATAAACATTCTTTTTGTAGGATATATTATGCCTCGCAAAGATAAGTATGAAGGTAACAGCAGTAACAATGGCTCGGGTCGTCGCGTGCAATCCCTCATTTCGCAGGAGGAGCAGGCCGCTGGGAAAAAGTCATGCTGGAATGAGTTGGAGATAACAGGAACCATCAGAAACCTCAGTCCAAATCTGTTCCAGATGACTCATCTAACTGCACTGCATTTAAAGAACAATAGCCTCTGTAGGTTGTTGCCTGAAATATGCCAGCTGGTTAATCTGCGCAATCTTGATCTGAGTTACAACAAGTTGCGATCACTGCCTGCTGAGTTGGGGGAGCTCATACATCTCAGGTAAATATTACAAACATATGCTGGGCTATTAAAAAAAGT